ATATGTCTATACCTCTAAAAGCGCAGGTTCGATTTGGCTGAAATTTAGGGTGAAGTTCGGGGTTGGTAAAGAAAGTTTAAACAACCTTTTATATATGGCTATGTTAACAAAAAAAAAAAACCAAAGAGACGTTCAGGGTGTAGTAGGCATCTGACTACTTCACCAGGTTTAAATATTCAATTAGTGGATGTAAACTTCAATTACAATCTACCAAGGTGTTAAAGTGGATATTGAAGAACATTACTTTAGGATGGAAAGGATTTGCCGATTTCTGTTTAGTTTTTTTTTAAATTAAAATATATTTTTTAATTGAAATGTTTGAAAAGTAATACTAGAGACTAGGTGAAAATTATATAGTTGATTAGAAGAATTTTGTTACACAATTGGAATTTATTGTGAAGGGAGAACGAGTTATATAAAGGGGTCAGTTTACCATGGCGGGGCGCCAACCGGTCTCATATTTCTCCTCCTCTACTCAACGGCTCTTTAGTGCTTTGTAAATCACATCGCTAAGGCTCCCCACATCCTACTTCACCTTACATCGGAATAGTTCCACATCTCTCATATCGGTGGTCTAAGAACTTGCAACCATTTCTGTAAGGGATGGTTTCAACAATAAGCTTTATTTAACAAAATCGAACATGTTAGTTATCTATAAATTAACATCAAGATGATATTATATTTTAAAAAGGAACAAATAATTAATATAAATATTTAAAAACATAATTATTTACAATTACAATATTGCTGGATTTAAATATGGGGAGGGTATTTGGGAGACCGACGTGGGTAGTGATGGAAATAGGTACGATCATAGGGTAATGAAAGTCTTATAGGGTCATTATCATAGGGTCTTATATCGTGGTTTGGTGGACTGTAGTAATTGAGCCAGTAATACGAGAATGAACAGAATCATGGAATTGGAACTAGATGCATGGCGGGATTTGATAACTCGCAAGAAAGTGCTTAAGACAGTGGGATGTATAAGTCTTTTTCTAATCTTCAACAAACGGAAAGCAAAGAAGTCCTTTGGATTATCTCAGACAAGATTGGATTACGAGTTATCTTAGGCGATCAAAAACTTGGTTATTACACCATTGACCTTATTTTTAATTACTCTTCACGAATGTATACATTTATAATTATATTTGGAAGTTGCTACAATATTATATACATATAATTTTATAAGTGATACGGTCTATAGGTAGTTTATTATTTCTTTTCATGTATTGCACTATTTCTTATATTTTATAGCACAATTGTGTTTTATTTTTTTTTTAATATTTCTAATATTATTTATCGAATCTCTTGAGTCTTTTTACGTTTCTAAAATCTCAAGTTCAATTTGGCTCAAACATGGAGGGAAGCCAGTGAATGGTAAGCAGATGATGGAGGAGGTATTAATTTTATGAAATTCTGTCCACTTCTCCAAGAAAAATACTTTCACTTTCGGATCAGCAAACGTATTATTTGGCTGTTGTTTGAAAACTGCGCATTCAATTTGACCCAAACTTAGAGGAAATTTGGAGAATAGTATAGAAATTTCCTAATATGAATTTCATTGAATTCCATTTAATAGCTAAAATTAGCATAAATAATTATTAGCAATATAATTGCAGTGAAACGTGAAAGGCCTATCTAGTATAGATAGGAAAGTAATAAGTTAAAACATAGAATAAGCTGTATCATCGCTAATACTGGTTCGATTCCGGTGATTGTTTTTTGTTTTGTTGGTAATTTTATTACCTTTCAAAAGTTTTATTATAAATTTTATCCTGTAATTTATACTTAAGGGGTTAGGCCCATAACATTTTTCTTTTCTTTATAACTTTTTTTCCTGAACTTTTTCGGGAATTCAGTCTACATACGAAAATTGAAAGAACAATGATAAGAACATTATAGAAAAGTTTCAACAAAATCGTTACAGCCGTTTTTGCGCTACAGTCTATAGAAAAACATGTTTTTCATTTATTGCGAGCAAGCTATTGAGCATGGAGCACCGAATTTCTGTCACAGGCATCAGTAGTAAAAACCCTATAAAATAAAAAAGAAGCAGCAAAATTAGTTCAGTAGTTCCCTAGAAAATCTTGGCACAGACGTGGCGCAAAAATGGCGAAGTATGTGTTTTTTGGACTCAGGGGACTCTGAAACGTATAGATCCGTCGAAAACCGCATGTCGGAAACTGGACCCGGTTGCAATATTTCCCTTACCTAGTATAGGTAGGAAGGTAAAAACACACACTGGTTTTAGAGCCTCATTAACTACTTAGTTAATAAAGACAATAGCAAACTTCTGCTAAAAGAAGCAGATAAGGATTTAATAGGTATTCAGGAGGAACGAATAGCCAAGTTGTTTACAATAAAGGTCGTAAAGGAAAGGAGAAAAATGAAACACCGTCAAGCCAAAATTGATCAAACTTGCCTAAAACAGCCACTATAAAAATATCAAATAAAAAATTGCTCAAAGAGAGACTGAAAGGAGATATCAAAAGAAAATATATTAAAAACTAAAAATAATAATAAAAGAAAAACAATAATTAATTCCGCAGTCTGTAAAGCCTTTATTAAAATAACCAAGAAAACATGTGTTAATAACGAAAAAAAACATCATGTCAGAAGGCTGGGAAACTCATCTAATGAACTGATGATGGGAAATAATGATATAGCAGGCGGAGGTAAGATGGTATCCTGTAAAACCTCTTTCCTTTTTATTATTTCAACTATAAGTATATATATATATAAGTTAGCTGTATATAAGCCATAAACAATAATAAGAACTATGTTACTGATAGGATTAACAAAGCATTGTAAGTGAAAACAAACTGTTACTATATATATATGGGATGAAGTAAATAATAAAGTTAGTTGCTCACGAACCTTAAAGCTAGTATGTATCAGGCGAGAGTAGGGCGGCAAACCACGTGGGCGAAGGTACGAGAAAAATTAGTTCGAGAGAAGCAAACCCGGGTGGCTAAGGCAAATAACCGACCCATAGTTTATAAAAAGGGCCCGTTAACGCTGGGAACCATAGTGTATAGACGATTACGCACCGCTCGCACTAAAACAGCCGCGAGGTATGAGGGACCTTATAAAGTCATCACCATACGGGAGAATAATCTATTTACTACCAGGGATGTAAATTACCCGTTTCGGTCACGTACGGTACACCTCGAAGAACTTCGGGTACCCCAGGTCATGCCAGAAAACGAGACGGACGGCGGCGCCCAGCCTGGACCATCTCACGGCTAGGAAATATTCTTTTCTTATTTTTCATTTTTATGTTTTAGCAATCTTGATTAACCTTCGTTAGATAGCATTATAGAAGTAGAGTGGAAATTTTTTTTTCTTTTGTTAAATTTCATTGTATATAGCTTAAGGTATTGTATTTTAGGATATCTGTATTTTCTTTTGTTTTAGGTATAAGTATGTTAAGCAAGTGAATCTGCTACTTATTTTTTTTTTCTTTGCTCTTTTGGAAGTGTTTGAGTTGTGTTCGATGTTCTATTTTTTTTATTTATTTTATTTTATTATTATAAGTTCCTCCATACGAAGGAACTGGAGGGAGGGAGTTAGCTGTATATAAGCCATAAACAATAATAAGAACTATGTTACTGATAGGATTAACAAAGCATTGTAAGTGAAAACAAACTGTTACTATATATATGGGATGAAGTAAATAATAAAGTTAGTTGCTCACGAACCTGTGTACTGTTACTATGCCCTAAAACCCTTTTTTTTCGATCAGTCTTTCAGTCTAATCGTAAGTTATATATATATATATATATATATAAGATCTTTGAGTATTAAATTTAAACTTAACTATTTAATTGGGAATAAGGTCATATAATTATTATTTAATAAACTATTGAATGTTCATTTCTTCTGTTTATTGACGTTTCGATCCCGGTATTTTCTTTTTATTAGTCAACCATGGGATCCTTTTCAAAGCTAGAATTTCAAAAAATAGAGCTTCGATCAGGCCAGGGACACACCGACAGTCTCAGTACCGTCCACTAGCACATATATTAAGCTACTCTTAATAAGCTAAACAGTAGCTTAATATATGTGCTAGTGGACGGTGCTGAGACTGTCGGTGTGTCCCTGGCCTGATCGAAGCTCTATTTTTTAAAATTCTAGCTTTGAAGAGGATCCCATGGTTGACTAATGAAAAGAAAATACCGGGATCAAAACGTCAATAAACAGAAGAAATGAATATTCAATAGTTTATTAAATGACCTTATTCCCAATTAAATAGTTAATTTTAAATATATATATATATATATATATATATATATATATATATATATATATATATATATATATATATATTTATATATATTTATGTTTATTTATTTATTTTTAACCTTATTATTTTGCTGTTATTCCATTTAATTTATTTTTACTTATCATAAACATAATGTGAATTTCATCATCACGGCTAATGTGACTTAATGAAATATAATTCGATACAGAGTAAACAATCATGACTTAAATCTTCCGATTAATTTTCCATAGCTGAAATAAACACGGAATACTGACTTGGTATTTTCGATTCTGTTATTGTTTTACGTAATACGTCATCTTATCTTGCTCCTTCCTATTTAGCCACAGAAGAGCTTTATACCTGAAGAATCTCTGGAATTTCAAGAGATTCTCTAGGCCTCTTTCACCGACAGATTAAGGCTCACTTTGATGTCCCCCCAGTCTTCTAACAATGTCTTTCTTCCTCTCAAGTTTGGCGTTATTAATTTCATAACAGTCTTCAACTCATTCTTTGTTTAACCCCAATTAATTTCTTTGAACAAAAGAAAATCTAATGTTTAAAATTTTAGTTTGTTTTTATAAAGCCAAATTTAATCAATGATATTCTATTGTATGTTCCCGTACTAAGAAACTTATCTTTACTTTTGTAATGGATCCTTTAGAAATTACAATATCTATTGTTTTTGTATCCTATAAACGCAATTTGGATTCACCAGTATGATTAATATTTATCGCAGGTGGTGGTGGTCAAAACGAGCTGCACATCCAAACGACTGCGTCTCCTTCGACTACACCGCGAGGGCTCGCCGTGAGCAGCGGCAGGAGCAACTTCACAGTCCAAGCCGGGACAAAGTTCACACTTCACTGCAACTACCAGCCCCACGATGAGAACACCTCCGTGAGTTATTTATTTATGTTTCTTTGGTAGAAGAGAGCCTTCTAGTATGACAACTAATATTTTATTGCAGTTATATTTAATGCATCTCCATTTCTATGCATGTTCTCTTTTTTCATTACCCAAGATTACACTAATCGAATGACCTCAGGATCAATACTACATGTATTGCTCTATTGTTTTTGTTTATCACGATAATTTGTCATTTAGTTAATAAGCGGATTGCTAGGTCATTGATTGTGGTGACAGCCAAGGAAGTGTGTAGGATTTTTATTAATTTATATATTACAATACTTTTTTAAATTTTTTATAAATATATCACATGGAGAGTCTTGGGTTAGCCCATGATAATGAAGTAAAAATATCTTTTTCTATTTTTCTGATTCCATTCAACATATATCATTAAGTTCAAGCAAACACCAGCTCTAAGTATATAAAAACATTTTCCTACCTTAAAATATTATCTCTTATCAATCTATTATTAGAGCAACGCTACCTTGACTTTGTGGACGATCCTAGGCTGAGGTTCAGCGACTTGCAGTGCAAGCCGAATGCCCATAGCCAAATCGCCAATCAAAATGTAGGCAAGGCAAAAGTGATGAGGACGAATGAGCGATACCGGAAGCCTCTTCTCTTCATGGCCAAAACCGTGGAACAGGTTGACTTCTTTGTCTACCTAGGAAGCATAGTCACAAAGGAAGATGGCGTAGCGAAATATGCGAAAAACCTAAAAAAAAAGCCCAATGGGATTTTTGTTCAGCAATAACCAGTATTGAAGAACAGAAACCTGTCTAAAAACACGACAATACAGCTTTCCATAGACTTTTTACAAAAAGCATCACTCGTTTTCCACAGATTTTTCTTAATAGATGCTTCCGTAGAATACAGGAGATTTGGTGGCCAGAGCGCGCATCAAACGGAGGACTGTGGGCAGCTACCAGCCATCTGCCTAACCATTCAGTGATAAATAATAAGCGAAAATGGAAATGGTTAGGGCAAACCCTGATAAAAGAAATATGAGGCAATAAGAAAAACAGCGCTACAATAGAAGCCTCAGGGTAACAGGAGGAAAGTCAGACTAAAAGAAACTTGAAGTCAGGGCAAAGAGATTAATGGGCTGGGTTGCCAAAATGCAAGCAAGAAGGTTGCAATTGCTGTTCAAAGAGATGCATGAAGGACACTCGTGATGATAATAATAATCGAGCTATTAATAGTGCGATAGTTACGTTAAATAGTATTGTATATGATAGAGAAGCGACATAAGTTGGTTTCTAATGCAATAAAAGTTTCAAATTTTAACGTTTGATTTTTCTCCTATGTACAGCAGTACCGTAAAATAAATATTTTCCGAACCCATTTTAACCAAAGCGGAAAGGACAAAATTCATTCCGTGGGTCCTCAACAAAAATATTTTACTCCACCCAGAGCGGATTCGAACCGGCAACGCAAGATTCGAGAATATTAAAGCTGGCAAAGTTTTAAAACGCTTGTCCACCACGGACTCTGTCCAACTATTTGAACTTTATCTAGTGGCGGATCAACGTAATAAATCTTGACCTTCCTAATACGGTTCGATCAGCTCGTTACATGTAGAATAACTAAGTGCCAGAATCGACACAGAAAAAATGTGATTGTCTGATGTAGAACAGAACTGTTAATAAAATAAAAAAGAACTAAAAAACAATATTGGATTAATATGTTGAGAACAGCAAATTACCTATACATTCAGATTTGTCCAAACAGCAATGTCTAAAGAGGTTTCTTATTGTAAACTACTTATATTGAATGTCGTTAATTTGGAGATATATTAACCATTAAAGAGAAATCCTGGTATATGGATCACAACTCCTCAATTAATTATGCATGTATGTTATACATTTAAACTGTTATAGCTCTGTATAAGCATGCTTCCAGCTCCACATATGCATTCATAATATGTACAGCTGATTTTAACCGAATTCTCGTTAGTGAATTGATATTTCACGTATTATTGAAGAACTTTCAAATTTATCTCTCAATAAGTTCTAACTGAACCTATTTCAACACATATGTGACATTCAATCTCTTACGTTCTAAAGCGAAAAATATTTCTTTTCAACGTCTTTATATATATATATATATATATATATATATATATATATATTCGACATATATATCCGAAGTTAATGTAACTCCTATACTGTAAATCTTTCATGGAACTCAAGTCGTTATTGGGTTTTCGATATTCTTGAAACGAAATTTACAACGCACTGTTACAGAGAAAAAATGTTGATTCTAGATTGTAAAAGGTTTACTATTTGAAGAAGAAATGCCCAATAAGTGCTCGGGTCTTGGTTGGGCTTGGGAAAACCTCAGACTACAAAAGGGCCAGGGATATCTTGTTATCCCTTGATCCTTTGAATAATAACCGGAGCAACTTCAATCTTGGAACGATAGCTAAGTTATTGTTGATCAGAGTTTAATAATTTTATAATATACTTTCATGGATTATATTTAAAAATATCAACTGTTAATTAACTGTTGGATGCAGAAAATCGATAAATTAGTACTATATATACTTCTGCAACTTAATAATAAGAAATATAAATGATAATTAAATATAGATAAAAACAACAATTTTAATAAAAATTCTAACAATAGATACAGTATCTTTGGTGACAATATATATATATATATATATATATATATATATATATATATATATATATATATATATATATATATATATATATATATATATATAAATTAAATATAAATTATATAGATTATATATAAGTAAAAAAGCGATATGAGAATAAAGATAATTGTAACAAAAAAGGTGAACAGAAATCAAGAAAAATAAAAACAAAATGTTAGAAACGTAGTGGGCTGATCCATAAAGTTAAAACTTAAACAATCAAAACGACCACCAATTTCCTTCAAGATGATATATATATATATATATATATATATATATATATAATATATATATATATATATATATATATATATATATATATATATATATATATATATATATATATATATATATATATATATATATATAATATAATTTCGTATTTGTAGAGCGTCTGTTTGATATGTGAGAAGGTATTTAAATAAATACAGGCAATACAAATATCAGATGGCAAGTACAGCGGGTAAGAAAGGAACGTTCGTAAGTTTTAGTTCTGTACAAAGAGATATTCCATTCCACCCGATTTAGGTGATATCAAAGACATCTTGTGTAAACTAGAAAATAATAAATAAACGATAATGCTGAAGTCCCAACATAATTGTTTAAAGTAGGGCTTCACGATGTCACCAGAAAACTACAAAACCTGATAACTCAGATATGAGAAGAGCACATCATAACTGCGGAATGTAACGAGGCTGTTGTAGTGCCTGTATAAAAGAAGAAGGGAGATTCAATGATATGCAGCAACCAGCAACTATCAAGGAATTGGTTAACTTAACACTGCATATAATTTGTTTTGCATATCCCTCTACAACAGGATACTTCGGTATGTTGAAAAGAAACAGAATAATTATTAGGGTGGTTTTCCGGCCCAATTGGTCTACTATTGATCAAATCTTCGCCCTGAAGCAAATCTCTGAGAAGATGAAGGAAGACAACTGTGATGCTGTTCATTGATTTTCGGGCTGCCTGCGATACAAATATAAGGAGTGAACTCATATCGGCCATGCATGAACCGGGGCTGTTTGATAAACTAATTCGATTAGTGAAATGCACAATGATGAACACAATCTGCCGACTAAAATCCTGTGGGTTATCAAAGTCGTTTGCTGTAAAAAGTGGACTAAGAACGGGGTATCCAATAGTTCCTCTCCTGTTTAATGTCACTCTAGAAGCAATCATAAATAGAGCAGCACTAAATCAGGAAAGAACCATATTTACAAAAATGGTCAAAATTCTGCAGACGATGTCGCCATCAGCGGCAGATCTCTTCAAAGTTTTAGGATGGCTTTCGAAGCGTTGTATGGTGAAGCTAAAACAGATCGGTCTGAATATTGATCGGGAGAAAACGAAGACTAAGGTACTTGGTAAAAAGTCACTGAATCAGAGGCAGAGTCGCTTTGTAATTGGCTCCTACACTTTCGAAGTGGTCAAAGGCTTTTACTTGGCTCTATCACCAAGGATAAGCAGAATGAAGAAGAACATCAGCAAAAAATAAAGCCTATGTCTCCATTTTAAGGCTAATCAAAAGCAAACTCGATAGCCGTACCAAAAATTTTATGCTTTATGATATCCTGATAAGGCCAATCCTCACATACGGTGGAGAAACGTAGACCCTGATCAATAAAAGCTTTAACTTTCTAGACAGGTTTGAATGAGTAGTCCTGAGAAGAATCTTGGGGACCGCCTGTGAGAATGGTAATTGGTGAAGAAGGAAAAATAATGAGCTGTTTAGGCTATACAAGGAACGTAGCATCTCCTCGTATATCAGGATACAGAAGCTTAAGTGGCTTGGCCATGTGATGACGATGAGCGAAGAAAGAGTAGCTCATAAACAGTAAATTAACGTTCCGGATGGTATTTATAGAGGTGGTAGGCCGAAGGGCCGATGGAGGGATGCTGTGGGGCACTAACAAATCCAGGATTTAATTTTTTTTTGAGGGGGCTTCAACCCGATATCCTTTTTTTTTACATACATAACGATAATTTCTTTGGGGAAAAAATAAACTAACTACCTATATGAAATAGTGTTTAAGAGCTACTTGGCTTCCTATTAAATGTAATTAGTTACAGAAGCAATAATACTTTAAGAGCTAATTTTGTTATTTGTTTTTTATAAAACAGGATTACGTTTTACTATTTGGGAGAGGGGGACGTTAACCCTAAAGCCTCCATGTAGTTCCGCTTGTGCTGTGGGGCAAGGTCTGCGATAAATGAATATCCCTGTTACCCTTACAGAAGATGAAGAGAGGTGGTTGGAGGGTGTTGAGCTGGCCAATGGCAGCTTCATGTGCCTGTTTTGCCAATAAAAGAAGAAGATACCGTG